TGACTGGCTGGAAAATACACCAGAAGTAGCTCTGGAAAGTTGGAAGTTTTACCCTGTGTTCCACGCACATTCCACAGCCACCAGTGCAAATCTTCCACTTGACAGGACACCGATACAGACATCATTTTCCCATCCCATGAATGGTGAGCCTAAGGAGGTTCTGATACACTGACTGCAGCCTAATGGAGTACCTTAATCCAAACACAGTGTCACACCATCAATACCAACACTCCAGCTGCACTGATAAAAACTCCCTTGCAGACAGAACTCTACCAATTAGTGTTGCCTTATCGCTCCATCAGTTAAAATTATTGACTGACAGCAACAAAGATACTGAAAGGCAAGAAGACTTGGTAACAGCATGATCCTGAAAGGTGCTAGCATCTGTATAGGTTTTTGACATATTTGAATAAGGCTCTATCTATTAAAGAATTATTATGAATCTGATAAACAGAGGCCCAAGTCTCCTGCTGCCAGAAAACTTTGGTTACCTCTGCTGTGAGAGAGACCTTTTTATCTCAGAAAGGCACCACACAGAGTGGGGAAAAAAAAAGAGAGCCTTGAAATGGACATAGATTTAGAGCAACAGCCTCACCATAGAGGACATATAGTGTTCTGTGGAAACAGTATGTGTGGGACAGACAGAACTGACAGCATAAGAAACGTAGTTTTCATTCTAAGAAAGTAGAGACTCCAAGCAAGATACAGAAATGCAGGAATGGCTTCAATACAAATACCATGGAGGCTGCAAGTAGTTCAAAACTTCTGGATTTAATTGTAGCTTAGTCCTTTCAAGACAGCAGCATGAGAGAACTAATGGCTATGCTGCGAGAGGCCGTGCTTTCAAAGGGTGGCTGGAATTACAAGAAATGAAGTGATGATATGACACGAGGGAATACCAAAGTGGGCTCACCTCCTCAGAAAGCTGGCACTAGGTACCTGCGGAATGTCACAGAAGAGAATGTGGAGGTTGCTGGCAAGTTTGGGTTTACACTAGCAGTGGAGAGGTAGACTTGGAAAAGACATGGAGATCTACACACCTGTCAAAGTGATCAAAGTGATTTTTATTCCAGAAGCTAAAGAAACTGGGTCTAGGATGTGACAAGGCTATGCGTTTTGAAGACTAAGGAAGGTTGCATTTTGGGACCAAGTAGGTTTGAGGAGAACTGTATGGAAGAGGACACAGGAAAGGAAACATCTGGGAATAATGAAAGAGAAGAGGAGCAGAGAGAAATTCTGATGTTTACAAAGGAAGTAGAAGATTTAAGCACTGAGGATCAAGCACAGGCAGACACTAAAAGCTAGACATATCCCCAGGGATAAGAGAATTAGTAACTCTCTAGACAATGCAGGCCCCTTGAACTCTGTTGTTTACATGGGTTCACTGGAGTCCTACTAGGATACAACCACAGAGATTAGAACCTGACAGTTCTACTGGGCCAGAGAGACCTGAGAACGAGCCCATCTCCTACAGGCACAGCTGTGCCCTGAACTAGCTTTTGGCCAGCTTCAAAATTTGATCAAAAACATCCTTAAGACCCAGAGGGCCCCAGCGTCAAGTCTATAGTTCACGGCCCAGCACCACTGTCCATCCAGCAAGTGGCAGTGCTGGCTCGGCTAACCCAGGGCACGAGGCCGGCACAGGCTGGCTGTGCTCCACACTCCCAGCCCCCAGCTCCAGCCCCAGCCTAGCTCTTGAGACTTTTACCCACTGCCTACTTACTTTTTAATTAGATTTTTAAACAAAAAGTGAAAGTATTTTCTAAAACCCCTCTAATTACACTAAGATCCTGAACTGATTGTGAAGGGAATAGGAAATGAAAGCGACTCACCCTCTGAGGGAGAATTTTGTCAGCCATCTTCCTCCTCTTGGCACTGTACATTTTTTAAAGAAAAAAACACGTTACCATGGTGACAGATCTAGGAGTAACGAGGCCACCTGCTAAATTATCCTGACATCTCCACATGCTGGTGCACAGCTGTGCATGCATCAGCAAAAGGGTCTCACCCATGCCCAGGACCTAGGACCCCTTCTCTCAGCAGCCTGGGGAGGTAGTTAGCTAAGAACAAATCAGGGCTGTCTGTTATGCATCTTGGAAAGAAGTGTGCAAGTTCTTTGATCACAGCATCTTCTATGGTGCCGGGCAGTAATGTATGCAAGTGCATGTGCACATGCTGTCTGTGGATGCAGAAAAAGCATGTAGGAGGACAGTGTGCATGTGTGAAAACGGCATAGATACACCTATGCATATGCACATGTAAGTGGTTGAGTGCCTGTAAACAGAATGTGAACTTGTTCAAACAGATGATGTGCATTCATTCATTCATGCCCAAAACTGAGTGCTGATGAAAACACGTATGTGTATTCCATATGATGTATGAAAACACATATATATACACACCCTTCCCTACATGTACACATTTGTTTTATTATAATGTATTTGCACGAGTGATATGCAAAGGTGATGATATGCAAAAGGGCTTACATTTCCACATTTTTCATCTTTATGAACATACAAGTGGAAAGATATGAGTGCCTGCTGTGTATATATATAATGTGTCCATACCCGTATGTAAGCACATTTACAAATCTATGCTTTTAAAAACATCCTTGTATTCGTGAACATAGACACAAATGTATATGTGCCTAAGAAATGGTTCTGTCAGGGTGATTGCCAAATACATTGTCTTTTGAACTCTTCAGATTCTAAAACCTGTTTGTGCCCACCAAACCTGTCATCTAACTCTAACAAGGCCAAGAAGGAATTCAGGCCTTGTTCTTCACCTCTATAATTTGTAAGGCCTTTATCTTAAGCAGGAAATGAATCATTCCATCTGTGACAGACAACTGGGAGAAAACAACTGTCTGCTACCACTCTGCCATGTCACACGGATGCCCCTCCTTACTGTTTTTATACAGGAAGTCTGTCATCAGCTATGTCCACGTAAAAATTGTTTCCATGCACATTGCTGTGGCATACTCCCTTCCTACATTTGCTAATAAGAAGCCTGGCCTGAAATACCACATCCTTAGATTCTTTCCATGCCCATGGAAGCCAAGCCTGAGGAACTATTTGTGCCCAGAGGTGCAAACTACATCCTTCCTCAGGGGCAGAAAATTCATCCACACAGTCACACCCAACCTTGTAGGTGAAAAATGTCACTTTTTAAAAGTGTATGAATGTTATATGGTGTGAACCTCCAACACCTTCCACAGCTCACAAAATCAAATCTGCAACACTTCACAGAATATGGAAGTAATGCATGAACAAACTCCACCTTCCCAAAGGGGAATGGGATATGCACACATATGCAACAACCCCAAAGGCTTGCAATTAAAAAGCAAATATCAAGCAAACCGAAAAAGCCCCAACAACTTGGGTCTCAACCAGTTCTCCTAGAGTCTATTACAGAAATGAGATTTTGGTCTCCACCAAACCTGCCAAGAAAGGGTGAGAACACCTTTTTGGCCTGTTTGTGCCATACAACACAGGAGTCTATTACTCCCAGAACTGCACCTAAGGTGTCAGGAAAATTTGCCTGAAAAAGAAAAAACAAACCAGAAAAATTTCAATGGGAAACAACAGGGAGGCATAAATGAACAAGAGGGAAATATTCAACACATTATCTGGGGGGAAGACATGGCAGAAGAAACAGAGAAACATTCCTGGGTACCTAGGAAGCACTAGCGTGAGCTGGACTCACTACATGAGAGATCACTGTTGGGTTCCAAATGAGAAGCGCAGAAGTTGAAAACTGGGGAGGGGGAACACTTCTTCTGCGAGTTACGACATCTATTTTTAGAAAATACTTTTCTTTAATGATCCCTGGAAACTAGTTAATGACTAAAGTTTACCTTAATTAAACAGCAGTGGCAATTTTTTAGGTTATATCTACCCTGTATATTTGAGGGCTAGGCATTATTTTGTGCAGTTTCCAGGAGTACCTCCTGGGAGGTGCTGTGGAACATGCATTTTGCCTAGTGCTGGGCAAGGCCTCCAACATGCACATGCATTTCCTGTGCTCATGTGCTGCACTCATACACATTCCTTCTGTATTCAATCTTATTCAATCATAATATATCAATACTCCCAGGATTGGTGTCCTTTCCAGATGCATCCCAGATATAAGCATTCCCAAGTCTGGCTTGCTGATCCAAGGCAAATAACTCAGAAAGAGCAGGGCTTCTAAAGCACTGAGCTAAGAGAATCATGTTTTACCTACAATTGGATATGACGACACCACCAGAACGTTGTCTTAATCTATATATAGACCTATACTGATTTTGCAAAAGGCAGATCACCTAGATGTCTGCTGTATTTATCAGGAACTGGCTCACACTAGGAACCCAAGACTGCTGAGGTTAATAAGTTGCAGAAAGAAATTAGTTGTTATTTAAGAGAGAATGCATTCAGCACTGTACAAAGTGGCATATTTTAAAAAGAAAGTTCCTTTAAAAAAAAAACAACTCTAATGATATGAAATTATTTTCTATGCATATCTCTTTACTTTATATGCAGGAATGCCTGTGACAATTGCAAGTTTTACAACCGCTCTCCTGAGTAACTATAGTACAAGAATTCACATGACGAATGAAAATTTTTTTCTGTCTTGTTTACAAACCATTTTCTTAGCCAGTCAGAAATTAGAGAAACTATACACACCAGATAACAAATAATGCAGTAATTGTACTATATTAGAAGAGATCTGTTCATAAACTTTAAAGGCTAAATATAACAGCCAGGTTTATAGCCCGATAAACCTGTGAGGTAAAAGCATTGTAACTGCAAAGCCAGACATTAGTAAAGGTCAGTTTGTTCAAGATCATTCACAAAGTAAAGAGTAAAATTTACCAATGTTTTTCCTGCTTTAAGAAACAGACAATATCTAAACCTTCTATCCTGTCTTGTTTGATCTTAAAGGTGCTACCTATTGCTAAAAAGGTATTGGTTTTTTCTTCCTCAAATTGTCCTCCCATATTTTCTTTCTGGAACACTCACCTCCTGGTTCGGTTCTGAGTGGCTTGCTGCTGCTGTTGCACTTGCTGCTGCACCTGCTGTTGCTGGACCTGCTGTGGTGCAGTGCGTTTTCTTGTTGTTTCCATCACGGTCTGGGGCATCCCAGGTCGCACTGAGGGGCTTCCAACGTATGGAGGACCTGGGGGACCCATGGGAGCCCCCTGATGGGGCATTCGAGCTCCTGATGGCATCCCAGGTCGCTAGAGAGGAACCAAAACAGAAAGAAGAGCCAGTTTGGTCCCTGTTTCTTCAGCTTCTAAGACATTTGTACTTAATCAAACACTAGCTCCAGCACATTCCCCATTTTAACCATCCTGTAAACACTAAGCAGCAACACGGAGCACATGAGCTCTGCACTGGTATTTCCTGGATATAGTAAAGAGGCATTCAGTGATAAAGTAGACAGGAAAGAAGGATGAAAAATACTAGGCTTGGGAAAACACTCAGTGGTCAGTAACAGGTCCAGACCAGCTTACAGAAGAAAGCTCTACCTTCGGATCGAAGGAAAAGCTCCATGGCAGCTACACGCAGCCCGGATTGGTGCAGTTCACATGCTAATCAAGCCACAAGCAAGCTCACATCTACACCGCTTCAGATTCTGCACTGACTAGCAGGCTGCTTTGATCAGAAGGGAGACTGTAACAAGCAAAGGTGAACCTTGAAACACTATGGTAAAACATTTTCCATTAAGAGCCCTCTCCTTCACCTACACTGGAGAGCAGTGTAAGTTCGTAAAGTGACAAGCATCTTTTAAGAAAAGGTGATGCCTCTATCAAGCCTCTAAAATAAAAATAAATTAAAAAAAAAAAATGGAATGTGGTAGTTTGTCAGCAGCCCCTATAGGCATTCTAAGTCCTGACATTTATGTTGACTTCAGCGTGCTCTGGAGAGACATTCAGGGTCAAATCACAAGCTTAATGCTGATCAAGACACAGTAAACTCGGTTCTAAATCCTAGAAGTTTGTAGTCATCACGGAAAAACACCAGTAAAATAATTACCACCTGTAAAATACAATTTAAAACAGAACGAAGAGCTTAGTTTCATTCTAATTATCAAGATGCTTATTATCTGTCTATATATATATGAAAATACAGAGAAATGCACATATAGCCTATAGGCATCTGAACTAGTATATGAATAAAGATAATTACACACACACACACAAAAAAAAAAAAAGAATTTTGAAAGTAAAGTCCCTCTACAAAGTCTTTTAAGGGAACCAAGAGGCAGTAGCATCCATTATGGATAAATGAGGTGAAGTAATTGTTTCTGAAAAGGAAGGCACATGCAGTGTGTTGCTGGGACTCACGCTTTTCAGCATATTCATAAGCAACCTGGGAGGGGAAGAAGGGAGGGACTGAAAAAAAAGGAAAAAATAAGAGAGAGAAACAAAAGCAAGGAAGTGAAAAAGTTTGTTGATAATGTTAAGTTATTCAAGCTGGCAAGGATGAAGGCCAGGTTCAAAGAACTGCAGAAGGACTTTTATGAGACAGAATGAACGTTAAAAAGGAAGATGAAAATGGATTTCAATACATATTGAAGTGAATAACATGGGGGAAAACCAATCCAGTCATCATATACAAAACAATGGGCTCTGAGCTGACTGTAGCCCAACAGAAGCATGATGTTAAACAGCCATGTCCAGGAAAAAAAAAAAAAAATACAGCAGTTCACTGCTTACTAGAGGTCCAAAAAAAAGCCATTAAACAAAAGAATGACAAGGAAGGGAACAGAAAACATCACTGTGCCCCTGTCCGTAGTTTGCCCACACGATGAATGCTGCATGTAGCTCTGGTTCCTGCAGGTACCAGTAGAGTAAAACTGAAGAAACAACAAAGAATGGCACAGAAATGATTAAGATACGGAACTGCATCCAAGTAACTGAAAATAAATACACTATGATTTTCCATCACAAAAGAGGTAATCTGAGGGGGGCATTTACTAGAGCTCTGCAAAATCATGAGTGGCCTGGAGATGGCAGTTGGGGATTGACTGTTCAGTGCCCCGAGAATAATGAAGTTCAGTCATCAGAGTTGGTTAGGTGTCAGGCTCTCTGACAGCCAAAAGAGGATAGTCTGCCTTGCAGTGGGTAGTCAGCCTGTGAAACCCCTTTCCAAAGAGGTGCTAATGACATGGAAAACATATTTGGCTCAGAAACTTCACTGTTATCGACAGTTAAAGCCAGGAAAAAGTACTGGGGAGAAGTACACTAGTGGTCTCCAAAGGGAGGTGCTTGCACCACGGAGGGTATGCAGGACAGTCCATTGGGAGATGGGAAGAAAAAGGTCTTTGCACCACTAATAAATAAAATAAAAATTTAAAAAATAGTTTAATCTTTATATCACCCTTTTATAATTTGTAAATATGTAATTATAATATATAATTACATATTATTCTAAACATAATTTGGACCTGCATCTCCAAATTAAGCACTCAAATGCACTGCAGTCCCCAAAGCCCCAGCTCAGTGCCCTCCCTGATCATCACAAGTCTTCAACATTCCTTGCATTCATATGCATGAAGAAGGGGAATGATCAGCAAAGAACTAATGGCTACAATCGGTATGGAGAGAGGAAGAAGGCTGAGGTAGGAGACAGACCAACAGCAGATGAATTCAGCAAGTATTCATGTATGAAACTGGTTGTGGGTCTGGCCACTGAGCAGAGAAGCAGAAGGAAGCAGCAAAAAGGCAAAGCCGAGGCTCTGTGCAGAGCTGGAAACATCTCCCATAAACACAGAGCTATGAAAACTGCTGGAACAGAGCAGCTCTCTCCGTTCCCACGTACTCACACCCACCCTCTGACCCAGGCAGAGTCAGCAGGAACAAATGGCCCAGAAAACGCTTCTCACTTAAGCTTGTACTTAACATCTCTCTGTTGTCTGTCAACCTACACCTCCTGGCCTTCTTCCAGCAAAGAGCAGACCACCGGGCCTGCTGTTGCCTGTCAATCAGCTGGGGACATTTGACAGTCATTCGAGAGAGACAAGATCCCGTGCACTCCCATCTCATGTTCATCCCTCATGGAGACTGTCTGGCCACAAGGATCAGACTGCAGGCACGCTTTCCTGCTACTATGAAGGACACCTTAAGGCCTGGAGAACAAGGTCAGCAAGCCAGGCCTACTCTCAGTCTAAGTCTGAGGTCTTTGAACTTCCTTCAGTTTTCTTTGTTACACATCAAAATAGGAAAAACACAGAGAAATGACAAAACTGAGACTGCTCTAGTAAAAGCATATTCAATTTCCCTTGTCATGTTCCCATCTCTAATATCACCCACAGAAGAAATGTAACTTACTGCACAATTGCCATCTCCCTGGTGCAAGCCCACCAGACTTCCAAGATACAAAAATGTTTTCTCTACGTAAACTTGTAAAAGGAGAACACACAAGCAGTAGCTTACATATTTAAAAGCTTATTTTGCTCTGTAACACACGTGCAAGATAAGGCAGTGACAGATAATACACTGAATTTTTCACAATATTGACATTAAAAAGAAAAAGTCTTCATACGAAAGAGTACTTCACTACCATTATGTCTTTTGAAAGAAGGTGCACCTATCTAGGGGTTAGGATGTGTCTTCCCTCTTCTCAGAGGGATGCAATCTGTCCTGAACAGGTATCTTCCATGGTAAATGCTGCAGTGCAAAACAGCACTGACACATCCTCCTTCCTAGGAAATCGTTTACCCTAGACACCTCTACCTGACCCAACTGTTCTTACCCACATACCTAACCACTTTTTTTCCTGCATTGACTCCATATACATATACTCTGCAGTACTTCAAACACTTTAATGGACAGAGGGCAAAACCACTGTGGGCCATAGGAAATGAGGATCATGGCATGTCCCCTGCTGAATGGACCACTCTCACAGTCCTGAGAAGATGAAGAGTAGTGCAGCTGCCTGGAGAGCAAGGACAAAGAGTACAGCACTTAAGAGAGCCAGGGAGTTGGAACTAGATGATCTTCAAGGTCCCTTCCAACCCTAACCATTCTGTGGTTCTGTGAAAGGCACACAACCAGTATTTCATGCTTGCACACTGGTCCCTAAGAGTTCTGCTGACTGCCTGCACTACTGTACACAGTCTACCACTGCCCGACTGCACCCTTCCAAAACTAAGCACACTGTCAGTGCCACAAGCATACCACCTCCCTCCCCAACAACTGCTGCCAAGTCCCTGTCGCTACCGTCCACTGCCCAGTTTCCAAAGCCACACATCTGGCTTTTCTACTTTCTTCCCTGCCTGAACCTTCTATCAGATCAGACGACAGTTTCTTTCCACTTTGCCATTCTTCAAGTGAACTTCTCCTCCCTGGTGGCAGAAATGAGACAGAACTGGAGTGGTGCTTTTCTATGTATTTCTGCTGCAGTCTTTTCTCCAGGGACATCACCATCATAGTGACCAAAATGCTGAAGCAGAAAAAAGGATTCCTGTCTGGACATACCAGATAGAGGAAAATAACCTGGAGAACTGACAGGTAAAAATGTCAAGAAAAGAAGAGCAAAACCACCTACAAGATCCTCAGAAAGAGACTGAACAGAGAGCAGGAAGTCACTGCAATGCCATGTAGCATTGAGCTGCACCTACAGCAATTTCTTCTGAAAGACTCAGACTTTATCCATGTTTGTACTACACAGAATAGCATGCAGTGAACAGCCATGGGCTTCTTGTTAACGGAGCAACTGGCAGATTTTGAGAACAACAATAATTACCAAGTATACAAACAGCGTATTTTTTTACCTAAAAATAGAAGCTACCTTGGCCAGACAATATATCCTGCTAAGGCATTACAGTAGCTACTGATTTCTATAGGGCATAAGCAAAAGCAAGGGGAGATGCCAGATGCTGTCTGGAGGTACAAATGGGTCACTAGAAGTATCTGAAACAACTAAGAAATTCAGACTAGACTGATGCTTCCTGATGGCAACAGGTTTCTGACTGCACAAATGGTTTCCCAGGCAGCTTCTCTCCTCTTCCTATAACTGCAGATGTTACTTCATATGAATTCCCTTTTAAAAATCTATGAATCTTTTAGAGATTTAGTAAGGAGAAACATCAGTATTGCAATTCTTTTAGGTTGTCTGCCATATTCACGTTCCTCCATTTCCCAAAATCTTTCACATCCTGGAATAAAGGTCCAAGTGTTCCAGGTTCCACTCAACTTTAAATAATGTTCACAAAAATCCAAAAATCTTTAACTTAAAACCCATCACATTTACAGAAATTGCAACTTGAGAAGAAGTTTCTATTTCATATATGTCCATTCATGGCTCAGAATAATCAGACATCAAACTGCAAATGAAGCATTTGTATGCATCCAAGAAAGAAAAAACTATCTTTGGAACTGAAAGTAACAAGTCCTATATACCATCAAGTTCCATCAGCTTGCTCATTTTAATAGATCTGATTACATCCACTACTGTGATGATACAATGAATGAAAAGGATTTTGTGTGAAGAACCATCAGAACACACCTTTTCACTCTGTAAAAAGGAATGTTTGACAAGGGAGAAGTAACAGAGCTCTCCAACAGCATAAGTATCATGGAAAGAGAGGAGACTGATCAAGAGCTCGCTGTCTCTTCCCTGACAAGAATTAGCAGTTGGCAGGACCAACAACTTCCTTATGCAAGATAAGCTGCAAAAATTCCTGACACAAAACCCTGTGAATGCTAAAAGTTTATATGGGTTCAGGAAGACATCCACGGACTAACCTACATGGATAAAATCCATGCAGAGATACCATGCATAGAGGGCAGCTCTGGGTCAGAAAGCTCTAGAGCTACAAAATGCTAAGTATTGAGATCAAGCATCACTACGTTTTTGCCTTGTTCCTGTACTTCCATGCAGTCTCCTGCTGCTTCCTGCAACTGAGTACCCTGGGCTAAATGATCCAGTGTGACTGTTTTCATATTCCTACAGTATTTCTTAAAAAAAAAACAAACAACTAACCAAACAAAGAAAAAAAAAAAAAGGGAAAAAACACCACCAAAACCAACAAAAACGGAAGAGCAATTCAAACCTTTCATAGATTGATTAGATCGATTACATCTATGGACTTATATTCATCAGCAAATGCAAGATTTCTCAATGAGCAACTCAAATTTATTTAACAAGCCAATACTGCACAAAATCACACTGATCTCTACTGAAGCCCTAGCTATAACTAATATAATCAATACAATTTTCTTTTCTTACTTGTGTGTGAACTTTTCTGTATTTGCTAGCCTGCAGTTAGTCCAGGGCTAGGAAAGGACAAACCTGCCATTTCTGTTCGTACCTTACTTACATGGCTGAACACTGTATGGTGTTTTCACCCTCCCAGTCTTCTGCAAATACCCACCAAACCAAGTTTCTTCACTGTGGTAAGGTCCCTTGATTTCTCCAAGCTGTCCTACACTTACCCCAAACATCTCCTTGTTTAACAAACCAGGGAAATGCATACGCAACAAACCAGTGATTCCGTTCCAGGACCTGTGCCCTGACAATGTCCCAGCACAGAGAACCATGCAGATAGCCCTGTATTAGGGAAGTGGAACAAACTTTCCAAAAATGACAGTTCATGAGGCTCTTTTCTAGCCTTTCTAGTGTTAGCTGATTTATGCTCTGACAAGATAGTATTTATATCCACGGTAATATAAAAATAAGTGGGATATTTTTCATTAGTAAAGTTCTACTTTTTTCATACCTAGTATTCTCCTCACCTCACTACTTCTACTAGTGATCTCTACAAGCTGATGACTGGCTGGAAGAAACAGTCACTTTTATCCACTTGAAACAGATGGCCATTCTAATAAAACAAATATAATTCTTATAACACAGTGAAATATAAGTCCGTAAGATCATACAGTCCTTCCTCGTCTCAAGTAAGTACCACCAGTACCTCCGTTTACTTCTTCAACCAATGCCTAAGAGCCTCCAGTGACAGAGATTTTACAACTTTCCTAATCAATCTCCATCCTTAGATATTATAAATAGAAAAAAATAAAAAACTCTCTTATTCCTGAAGTCTTCACAGGCCTCCCACTACTATTGTCCTCTGAGTTACCCCTCTTCTTCCTTGTTAGTTATGCAGACAACCAAGATCAGAAAAATATTCTTGTAAGTATATGCCACGGATTTACAAAATTGGTTCTGTATTATTCTCTGCCCTATCTCTTAATAAGACTAACAGTTTACTTGCTTTCTTAGGAGCAGTGGCTACACACTAGGCAGTTCACAGGGACATCCAAGTCTTGCTCCTGAATGGTCATAGTTCATTTAAAACCCGGCAATGCATGAGGAGATTCAGAATTTGCTCATCCCCTTTTCCAAGTTGCTGATAAATCTATTAGATACTCTGTACATCTTTGGAGCACCACACCTGTCTCTTTGTCTTTTTTAACATTGGCAACAAGTTATTTATCACTCTATTAAATATTTATTTACATGATGGTATGCTTTGAGACCTTTCTTTCACTGTACTTGAAATTATAACACCATTTCTGTACTTGTCATAAAATTCTATTACTGGATTTGAGAGGTAGGTAACCAGACAATAAGAAGACTGAGGATAAGCAAGAGAGTCACATAAGTGATACACAGGTTTGTATAAATTAGCAGTCTTGATGCGTAACTAATAGTAAACTGTAGAGATTGGCAGGAACTATCAAAAAAAACCCTTACATATTAGCAGAAAATAAATATGGATGAGGACTTGTATTAACAAGAAGAGCTTCCTAAGCAAAGCGCAGAGGACAAAGAACAGATCGCTATGGGAAAAAGAAGGTGATCTGAACTGACAGCAGGTATATTGTAAATACAGATATGACTTGATAGTTAAGAAAGGGACATAGACTTTTACAGGCGTATCTTTTGTATAAAAGGCAAGAAGATTGGTTTTGGAAGGAAGCTAAAGTGGGGACAGAAAAAGGACACAAAAGCAGATTTAAAAGGTCAGAACAGGACAAGAAAACGAACCTCTCAGCAGCTTCTTGTGTGAAGATGACACAGGCAAGGTCGATAGCACAAGGCACCAAAGAGAAGGCTGCTGCAAGTGAGTCACAAAGGACAAATGTCTGGACAAGAGCTTTAGCACAATCTGCACCATAGACCTTCTCAAGGCTATATGGGAAGGTACCTGTTTGAGTAAGAAAAATTAAGAAAAGGAAAAGAAAAAAGGGAGAGGGGGGAGGAGGTAGAAGAAGACAAAGGTAACATCCAATAAAGGGATACAGCCAGCAGAGAGGCCTGTGTCAGGGTCTAGAGGATAGAAGAAACCAAGAAAAGGAACAGCCTGCAGGAAGATTAAAAACTTGGTCTGGGTCAACAAAATTTAAGGCAACAGCTGGACACCTACAGGAAGATGTCATAAAGACAGCCTGGAATGTACTAGTGGACAGTAGAAAACGCATCAGTAAGGAGATAAATCAACGTAAGTGTGGTGATTAAAGCCATATTAATCCACAAAAGTGCTAGAAACAGAGAAGAGAGGAACAACGACAACAGCAACAAAAAAAGAGGACAAAGTGAGGGATGAGGCCTTTGGGGAAAAAGAAAAAATAAAAATTACCTTCTTCCAAAAATTACCTCTTCCCACAAAACAAATGTGCAAGATCCTGATCAAACAGACGTAAAAGAATTAGAAAAACAAATAACTGAAAAAACTCTTTTTAAAAGAAGAACTGCTAACCGGCGGTGTACCAAACTATGAAGAACTCCAGCAGAATGAGAATGAAGTATTGCACTTGAGATTTTTAACCACTAAGAGATTTCACCTTTTCAAAGGTTATCTTACTTGACTGGGACAAAAAGGGAAGAAGACATCTTCTAAGCTACCCATATGGTAAAGAACAAAGGCAAGATCAGGTGCACAAGAGCAAAGGGCGAAGTGACCTTAGCAAAGGAACGTATGTTTCCAAAAAGATCAAGTGAATCCAAAAGCTAACTGCCCTTGGGAAATACTGCAAAATTATCCTGCTCATTAAAGTGTTCACATAGCAAAAAACTTTCTCACAACTTTCTACCTCTATTTACCTCTCCCCTTTTTTCTTGGGGGAGGGGGCAGGGGGGACAGGAGAAGCCTGCAATAACCAACTCAAATAATGTTATCATAGATAAAATTAAAAAAAAAAAAAATGTAATTTTAAGAGGAGATCTTCGCCTGGAATTAGAGCAGAAACTGACTCCAAGGAATTCCAGTAAAGTTCACTATGTAACTTGATTTTTCAAGGTATTAATTCAGATGTTGACACACTGCGGTTGATAATAAAACTCAATAGCCAGCAATATGTAAACTCAAGGTAATGGCTGTGATGGCACATGGTCTTATTTGGTAGGATATGGGCCTGAAGACATAAAATGAAGCCATATTTTTTTTACCTTTTCTAAGTAATGGAAGACTGACTATCCCCACCTGTGTTTTGATCAAAATGAACCTGAGATGAGGAGGAAACTAAAGGAAAGAACAAACAAGGAAGCAAAAAAGGAGATTATCATGGAAGAAAGGAGTGGGTCATATAGAAGGTGTTCAGGCAACAGAATAACAGACAAGAAGCTCCAGCCTCACTGACAAGTAGAGGGAAGATGACAAACAAATGCAGATATTCCAGGCAAATGCAGATATTCAAATAAGATGCCACTAGTGGCAAAACTCCCAGGGCAGAAAAGACAGACTATTCAGCATCCAAATAAGCAATGGAAATGAGTTCTGCTATATTCATTCTGGTATAAATTAAAAATTCCCATGCTGAAGAGGCTAGCATCCTGCTTTCACATGAAGTCCATCTAGGCACATTCACATAACTTTTTGCCACTTTTTGATCCTAAAGGAAGACAACTGGTGTGCAAATGCCAACAGAAACCTTGGAAAAGGCAAAAGCATCCCATTTGCCCACCCCTCCCACCTCGCAGAGCTACAGCCATCCTTAGCCAGGCTACCTTAATGAACCTTAATACTCACAACAAAACCACTGCTACAGACCTGCACACTTGATCCTCAGTCATCCTTGTACATCTGCCAACCTCACATCAGACTGCTCCTGTACAGTGGCACCACATCACCTTTCACTGCTCTCACAAACACAGAATGCCACCTAAAGTCCTTAGCCTCGCAAGTCCCACCATATTCAGGATCTGCAGGACACATGCTAGCTCCTACACACCTGGAATAAAGTCAAATTATGGAGACAATCCAGGAGCCTGCTATGACCTCCACAGATTTCTATGATCTCTGCAAAAGAACCCCCACCTGACGTCTTCAAAAAGGTGTCACAGGAGGTGGCAGAATCTTCAAGAATGGCAGAATTTTCAAGAGAGAAAGCACTTAGGATACTATCAGCATCCAAACATCTGCATCCCTTGGGGCTCTTTAACAGTCTTATTTTTGTTAAATATGTATCAATATAAGAAATCCATATGTTATAAACAGTGACTGCCCTCAATCACTAGAGTCATTTAAAGAACATCATTTCCAATGGCAGCAAAATAGTGTTAGCATTTCCCCTTAAATGGAGATGGAAGACCTGATTCTTAAACAAAAGCTGGAAAAATTTTAAAGACCTTAAGGATTGCTTTAATTAAGCATGGTACCCTGAAATTCTCTCGTGGGTGAGTTCTTGTACTGTTACAGATCTGCAGAGCTAATCTCTCCAAGCCCCTGAAAGTCACCTGTTAAGTAGCCAGAGGATACATAAGAGCCAAGACTGGAGACAAGACCGAGAGGCGGTACCACAAGACTTCATCAGGCTTTCATCAGAATTTCTTCTCAAAACACAAGTTTGATTACAGAACAAAGTGTCCTACAAGCCCATTTGGGTCAGATCCAGTGCAGATTCTGCACCATGATCAGACTGAAAAGCACGCTATTCACCATTCATGGAGAATCAAAGCAAAAATCACAGCACACATCCCCCCCAGACACAAGCCTATATTATCAATGAATCCGTGCATATTCTGGGGGCTTTAGAGACCCCAGTGCTCTCCTGGCAAGACAGTTAGCAGCGCCCCAGGAGCACACTGCAGGAGCCGATCCAGCCCAGCACAGAGCCTCCAGTTTCCACTCATCCCTCTATTCAGAGCCAGCCAGCTCACTAACTTTCCCGACTCACCACCCCATGGACCAGAAACTCAAAAAGTTTGCTTTTCGTAGCTTTGCGAGCCCCTCCTGTAACTTCGTCTGTAGCCATCAGGGTCTGCTCAGCCTCTCTCACTCTCTCTCTTCCTCTTTCTTTCCCTTTTCTGCCTTTTTCTCCAACTCTCCCCTCTGAGTCCTGCTGGGCTCTCACACTTCTAATAGCACGGAGTGGGGAGGGGGCCCCTTCAGGGCCTTCCTGACGGCCCACTCGAGCTAAGCCTCAGCTGCTGCATTCCTCCACTGATAAGCCAGAAATAGTTTGTGCTGCCGGGTTCTGTGTGTTTACTCTGCAGGGACACAAAATCCAGCTTTTTAAACCTCTCTGTCCAAACAGCAGAGATAAGCAGGCGGCAAACTGAAAACATGCCTCAGCTTTTCCGTAGCAGTGCTGCAGCCTCTCCTCCTCTGCACCAGAGGATGGTAAATTCTGGGGCAAGGGGGAAGGGGGAGGGGGCAACTTCAGCAATGACATAGAAGTCAGTACCTCACAGGGAGTGTTTTCCCATTAGAAAATGCAAGCAGGCGAGCACTGAGAAACAATGGTTTTCCCTTGCTCCCACTGCTCCTCCTGCGCTGCATTTCCAGGCCTTTTCCCTAGGGACCTGGCAGGCAGCACACAGAAACATTCACTGGCAGCATTTCCAGCATGTGAGGCTGAGAACTAACCCCTTTGGACAAGAGAGAGAAACAGCAGGAGGCTGAAAGCTGGGAACAGGGAGAGACAGTGTGTGAGAGCCAGGGGAAAGAAAGAGTGTGCGAGCAGCGGGAGGAAGGGGGCGGGGGGCAGCATGGCGACCACAGTGCCTGACTTGCATCCATGCTCCCAGCCATCCACAGCCTCCCCCAGGGGTGACCGGGCTCAGGGTGCAATGCGAGGGTTCCATCAGAGACCCCAGGTGACTGACAGGGGCAGAGGAGTGATTAACACCGCAGCTGCTGTGAGGCATCACAGCTTGCTGCTTATCACACAAAGCCCTGCACAACACGTGTTGTCCCAGGATGCTGGAAATGGGGAGCACACCTGCCACCCCGGGAAAGGGGACAGAAAGCAGCAGACTGTTCCCTCT